CACATCTTGTAGATTTTTCCCACCAGCTCTGGCTGAGAAGGTGCTAGCTTGCTTTGTGCTTTTCTGGGATCAGAGCCATCTTTTCATGTAAGCAATCTGAGCTACTGCTTGGGATTGTGCTCTTCTGAGGCCAAGCAGGCCAGGCTAATCTGACCCTCCTCTCCCATAATGTGTCAGCTGCTGCCAAGTTATTCCCACTAGACCCACTCTCACCCTGATGCATTTATTTTTAATGCATCTTTCCATCATCAGCTGCATATATTGTCTGAAGGAAGTATGGTTTCTTGTGTAATAAATGAATTGTTCCTCTAAATGCATGTAGTTCAGCTGATCTTTCTCACTTCATATGACATCATTTGCCCGTTTAGATGACTGGCAGGAAGAAAAATATGGAGTGTCTCACCAGATGTTTTCTCAGGTCAATCGACCTGATTTCATAGCAAGAAATAATATTTGATTTTATTTGCTTACTGGCTTTCATGTATGTATGTTCCTTTTATGTATTTTCCTTCTTACATGTGTATACATGAAAGTCTATAAATATCAAAGCTCTGTGAATTTCTTTAGTCTGTTTTCTTTTGCTTTTCAGTCTGTTAGTGACATCTATACATGCTTCTTGCAGTGATGGAGTGTACCCAGGGTATTGTATGCTTGGTCTTTCTTGGGCTTGCCTTCAAACTTCATTCTTCTGTGTGCTTCCCCCATGAAGACCAAGCAGGTCATGAAATCCATCTCAACCAGATCATGTGTCTGGTGGGGTCAATTCTTTCTGCACTAGTCACTGTGAGCTTTTTTAGTGTCAGTAGAGGCAGAAGATTCTAAGGCTTGAACAATGAGCAGTTTTAGATGTGTATTGCCTGTTTAAAAATGAGTCTTGGTGACTAGCTCATGGTCATGGATAACTAACATCAGGGGATTCATTCTCTCCCTGTGTTTCCTTCATTGCTCATTCTTCTCTACTCTCTCTTTAACTGGAATTGAAGCAGACCAATTTTTTAATCTGTTCTGAAAAGCTTTACCAGAAAACTTAAAACCTTTTTTTTCTTTTTGCTAGCTCTCCTTGGCAAAATAAACAAAGCACCCAAACCAAATTACCCACAACCCTGAGCAAGATCTTCCAAGCCAAGCCAGCCAATGTGATGTGTCATCCTTAGAGTTTGTACTGGAGAATTGCAACAGCATTTTTCACTTGCAACACTGTGTGTCTATAGCTCCTTTCTTTACAGTTCTGTAGTTCTGAATGTGTTTCTGGCATGTGGCTTGTGTTTGTGGCACAGAATCTGACGCCAGGGATAAAGCTCCTTCTTTAAGGGCCTTGCCAATTTGCTTGGAAACAATGCTGGTGTGAAATAAAATGTTGCCACTGTTCTTAGAGTTTGAAGAAGAAGCATTCTGCCTGTGGTACATAAAATCCTTATGATTCAGATTTGTGCTGAGCAAAACAAGCAGGAGTTAAGGTCTGGCCTGTAGTGAAACAAAGTTGGGTATCACTGGGGCTGCCAACGTCTTTCCTTGCACAGATTGTGTTCTTGGTGAGCTGCAGGGCTGTGTTGGTGGATGTGATATGTTTGGTGCTAGCTGTGTTTGCTAGTCCTTGAGTGGGGAGTATCGTGATGCTGTTTGGATAAATATTTGCCATTTACCTTTTTGGTGGTGCAGCCTTTCCTGTTGTAAGTGGTAGATCTGACTATAGACTACTGAGTGGAGGCAGAGTCAGATCCTCTGCATGCCGCTCTTTAGCTGCATCAAGAGACAAGACCAGCCCAGACAAACGTAAAGACTCATAATGGCCTTAATTTTTCAGTCACCAAAGTCAGATAACAGAGGAGGTTGCAGAAGGGCCATTCCCTCACAATACCATCCCCATGGTACTGGAGTCCACCCCTCTTGAACCACTGTGTTGAAGTGCTCCAGGAGGTGGAAATGCCAGAGATTACTTGTCACTAAAGAGCCAGAGCAGAGCTTTAAAATGGGAAAATCTTGGCACCAACCCTACATCATTTTTTTTCCCTTTGCTTAGTATTCAGCCTTAGGACAAATTCATTTATATTGAATTCTGCTGTACTTGCCACTAAATTTGTTGTCTTTTCTAAAGTTTGTCTACTCCCGTGAAGGGAGATAAACAAAAAGTATATGTATATATTCAATTTTAATGCACACTAGAAATCACTTTATGTTTTATTTATTTATTCAACACTAACCTTTGCATTAGCATCTGTAAATAATATTATAAAACTGAACTGGGCCAGAGAGGCCTTTTAGGGATTTGTTCTGTCATACAGCTTTAAGACTCAGTCATCAGGTTAAAATTTGAAGTGGATGCCCAGAATAAGTAGGTGAATAATAAATAAAAATTATTGAAATGAATAATATCCTCTTTATCTGAAATCACATAAAGGCTGCAAGTTCAGTTCAATCCTTCTGACATCAGTCAGTCTGAGCTTTAAAAGAGAAAAGAAAGAAAAAAACCCAGACCCGTAGCTGGTCTCTGGTTTTTAACTTGATACAGAGTGGGATTCTCCCTGAAGGAGACACTGGGAGACATGAGTGGTTGAAAGAGATTGTGCTGCATGTCACTGAGCTTTCAGTAGCTACTGTTATGCTGCTGCAGAAGAAAAGGAAATGCCAGGGGCAAAAGATAAAAGGGAATCAAAGGAAATGTCTGTATGTAGTTAATCCTTTCCTCTCATGGTGAAAATGGTTAATCCATTGCAGAATACAATCAGGGTGCTAGACCCACTTGTGAGCATGACTTAACTGGGACTGAGTTGCCTGAAGCTTGGCTAACTTGCACCTGGAGTCAAAACATGCAAAGGATAACCAAGGTGTTTGACACAACTGATGCAACTCAGTCCGTGCTGAGGTCCTTGTATGTGTAAATCACGTCCAGTGACTCAAGGAATATTCCTGGCAGGAACTGTGCTGAAGTCTGGGCAGAGTCATAGCACTGTAGAATTTTGACTTTGGAGTGTGGATTCTCAGTTATTGTTTGTAAAAACCTGTGTGTTCTGAGAATTAGTTATCTTAATATTGATGCTGACTTCATAAGCCTAATCTTGAATTTGGACAAGGAATTTTCTTTTCTGGCTCCTTTAATTAATAAAGGCAAGTGATGCTTTGTTGCTTTATTTTATATCTACACAGAATTCCTTTTGGGGCAGAGGACTCTATCATATTTTTTTAGACAATCACCTAAAAAGCAGAGGAAATCTGGATGTTGTGGACTTGTAATGCAGTATGTTACCCTATCTAGAGACAGTGCTAAAGAAATACGGCCAAATTAGAATATTCAGATAATATTTGATCTCCTGAAAAACATGGGGTAGAAAATCTTTCTTAATATTTCTTACAGGCTTAGTGGTGTTGGCTGAAGTTTACATAATTGGAGCCCTTTTTGACATGAAGATTGAAGGATGCCTGTTTCCATATCTTTCCTCCATATGTGTTTTACTGGCAGCTTGAGCTGTTCCTGGCCAGACTGGCATTCCTGTTGGCAAAAATGCAAAGGCCGGATTCTTTTGTCTGTACACATATCAGTTGCATTAGGTACTTGATGGAGTCTGAATTTCAGTTTCTGACTTTCCTTTGCTGACTATACAGTGATTTGGTTGTGTAGTTGAGTACAAACATAGCAAGAATTAATTAACTGCCTGAGGCTTTGGACACTGCTCAAACAGCCCTTTCCAATCATCTTTCTGAATTGATCTATGGTCCAGCTCTGATTTGGCTGCTGCCTGTTCACGAAATGTTAATATTCAGTGTGAGCACATGTAGTTTATTTTCCCAGTGACTCTTAGCCATCCATCACAGCGGTGCCACAGGACATATCACTAGGTTGTGAACCCTTCCAATCTGAACATGGACCTGCCTCCAATTTGCAAATTCCGTTACTCAAATCAAATGCAATGCAGAATCTTGTGCTCAAATGATATCATTTTCCCATTAGGGACTTAAATTTGACTATTACAAGCATTGAAATTTTTTCAGTTCCCTTATCTACCTCCTTAGCTGGCAATCAACCCTTGTTTTGTTAAGCCAGAATATATATCAGATGAAATTTATTTGAAATCCTGATCAAAATGCTGCCTGATATTTAGTTCTCTGTGATCTAGTGGTAAAGCATAGTAGTTATTTCTCAAAGCGTATTTTTTTCTCCAAAGAACCAAATTTGCTCATAGTTGGAGAAAAGGAGCTTACATATGTTTTGATTGTGAGAGGATGCATTGTGGGTAAGAAAATAATTACATGGGGAATGGTGTTTGTGGTATTAAGTAGAATATATATGAAGCAACATATGTCTGAAACTCAGTGTGGAGTTGCATGGAAATTTGGTTACATTACAACCGTGTCATTTCTTAACCAGAAAGACTCAAAAAAACCATGATATTGAAAATTTGGCTTCCAAGAAGAGTCATGTCACTATCTTTGGTGTTTAACTAATGAACAGGTTGATTTCTAACTTATCTAAAAATTTAGACCTCGTTCTCAATATTAGAAAATATAAATTAGGAGCAATTTACTTTCAATACAGAAGAGATCTGATTCATTCCACAAAAACAAGTAATGGCATGACCTTGAGGATAGAGTCACTACCTCATCAGAGTCATGTTGACTAATCTGATTTGACTCTCATTCTATTTGATACTAGGAACTCACATGTCACCTGCTTCCTATTAAGCAAAAAAAGCCAGGAGAACAGCCAGCTTTGTTATATGGCAGTCAAAGTGAATGTGTTGACAGCTGAAATTTGGAAGGACAAAGTTGTTTGACAAGGTTTGGAAAGAGACAACCTGCTTTTGATTCTCTCGAGCCCAATGTGGTTTAAGAGTAAAGGGAAGACATTAGCCTCCCCTGGCAGTGAGGGTGATCAATAATTGTGTATAATTATTGTGAGCAATCCATTCATGTTCTTTAATCTGAGTTGATTTTAATACTTTATCCAGCAAGTCTTCCTTCTTTTTCCTCAAAGTTTATACTTTCTCTCTCTCTCTGTCTTCCAGCTGTACAGCTCCATGGACTTTGGAAGAAAATGGCAGCTCATGCACGAGCGAGTCACACCAAACAGGTTTTACTGGTGAGTTAGGGCCACTGGCTTGGCTTTCTTTGGGTGGGTTGTGGAGGGGAGAAGGGCATCTAACTTGAAGGGATTGGTTATTTTATCTGAATAAATTCAGTCCATAGAACATACCTTGCAGTGCCATAGTCTCCGTGTTTGCACCTCTTGTCTGATAAAATGTGGTGTCTTTTAAAGAGAAGTACAAGTCTTTTGATAATTGCAGAACTCCTACTTCTTCGTTGTACACCTGCCTAGAGTAACACAGAGGAGCTGTCCAGTGCCTCAGTGACAAACCTGTGACCATTAAACTTCCTATTTTTCAGCCTTTCAAAGAGTTACTTTAGCCTAGACACAGTCTTTGTGCAGAGCCAGCCACTCTGACCAGTCTCCTTATGCAATCTTGGTGAGAAGAGATGATTCACTCTGCTTTAAATCACTCTCTGAGAAGCCAGTTTTATTATAGTGACTAGTGAAAGCCCAAGATCTGCAGTTTGCTAAAAATCTGCTTTGTGACTCAATTCCTTCTCAATTCCCAAGTGTCAACCTCTCAAATTGGAAGACTGTCTTAAAATCAGATGATGAAACAAATTTAGTTCCTATCTCCAGGCTCAGCCATCTCTGATGCATCTTTTCCAAACTTCTCTTCACCATGTGAAGACTCAAGAATTGACTTTTAGAGAGAAAAAGAAAAGTGTTGTTCTTCTGTAGTTGAATTTAGGATTTGGGGCTCGAATCAGATTCTTAATGCTGTACTTACTATATGCCAGATGATGGGGTGTGTGTGAATATGTAGAAGTGCTGATTTATGGAATCTGTGCATAGCTAAAAAAGTATCTGGTCCTTAAGATCCAAAACGATTGTAATATTAAGGAACCAGAGGGTCACATTTTGGATGGTTAAAAATAAAAAGGACTTGGAAAACTTAAAAATGTACTCCCAATTACAAAGCATGATGCATATTTATGTCTGTATCTATATATCTTAGAGTCAAATTTTCATAGAAATTTTTGCACCTCATGGAAAACCTCTGGAATCCAGGCACAAAATAGCTATAGATTGTATTTTCAGTATTTCCACACCTTGAAGTGCAGATAGACTCCTCATTTCAAATTATCTACATTCTTCTGGAAATCTCTCTAAACATCTTTAGACTCCAACATTTAAAACATTTACTTTTGGCATTAGGTCTAGAGATTTCCCTTAGTGTCCATGAGGAATCTGGACAGTGTGAGAAGGTTTTTAAACACTGAGGAAAGGAAGTTTTAAGGTTCCTAAGTCACACAGACCTGCAAAATATATCAAAGGCCTAGAACCTTGTCTGTCCATGTTACAGACAGACTGACAGACTGGCTTAATTCTTCAAATACAGAGTTTCTCAAGGGGATCTGTGTTTTCTGTCCAATCAGCTAAACAGCTGTGAATATCCCCTGTCCATCTGTCTTTGGAGGTCCTGCCTATGTTTGCTGAGCTGACACGAGGATCACCATCCTGAGCAGGGGACAGAGGACAACTCCATAATGTAGGAAAGGAAGTTGTTTTTCTCTCCTGGTTCTGGTGGCAGGTGGATGATTGACCTAACTATCAAAAATCCTTTGATCTCACTATTCATGCTGGCTGCACTGACAAAGGCAAGTGTAGATCCTCTCCAGGTGTATCCCTCTGTTGAGCAGAGAATAGCTGGTCCTTGCAATAATTGTAACCTATCCTTCAAATAGCACAAATAAGCTTAGGGGAGAGGCTTTCTTAGAAGATAAGGTGCAAGGGCTAAGCTGACTTGGGAAGGAAAGCAGAACCTCTTTTTAAAGGACAGGTTGTGATGTTGTGCCTTAATTTCTGCTTCCATATATTAATGGTTAATGGAAATTGCTTGTTTGTCCATTTGACACCCAAATGTGTATTGTTTTACACAGTCTACCTCATTTTTCATTGTCTTTTGCTGCATGGTTTGAACACTGTTTTTCAGCAGTGCATTATGTAATGTGTGTGTTTCAGGTGCTTTTTTCTCTTAGGAAATGTACAAGTCTTCTATAGTTAAAACTCATAAGACGTAGACTTAGAAGTCTTTATTCCACTCAGAAACAGCAGAGTCCCACAGAGAATAAGCTTCCCATTTTAGGGAATTAGGTTTTTCCCAGAGTGGGAGGGATTTGAAACAATCCATAGTGCAGGTATAAGAGATATTGAAATTGTGGAACATAATAACTCCCCTTAGCTGATTTATTTCTCTTTTTCCTTTCTTTCCCTTTAAAGCTTCAAACTGTGATGACTTGCAAGTTCTGGCATGTAAGATCTTTACAGAAAAAAAATGCAAAAAACATTTTAGCCTCCAAAATTTGTTGATTTCTTTTTAGTGCACTACAAAAGAGAGAGAAAAGTGGGTATAGCTGTAAGTTTCAGAGCGACGTAAGCCACTACTCTGTGAAGCTCAGAGAATCATAAAATAGTACAGGTTGGAAAGGACCTTAAAAACCGTCTAATTCCTATTTCCCTGCCAGGGCTAAGGGCACCTTCCAGTAGACCATTTTGCTCAAAGCCCCATCCAGCCTGGCCTTGAGCACTGCCAGAAATGAGACATCTGTGACTCCTCTGGGCAACCTGCTCTAATGCCTCATCAGTCTCACAATAAAGAAGTTATTCCCATTATCTATTCTAAAACTACCATCTTTAAATTGAAAGCCACTACTCTTGTCCTATTACTACATGTTCTTGTAAAAGCTCCCTCTCTTTAGCTACTGAGAGGTGCTGTAAGTTCTCCTGGAGCCATGTGGTTCACACAGACCCACCTCTCATGTCTGTCAGTCTCTCTCTGGATGCCCTCCCTTCCCTCTGGTGTGTCAACTGCAGCTCTCAGCTTGCCTGTGGCAAGGTTGCCTTTCCATGTCACCAGATTATCACTGTCCCTGTCATAAGTCTATCAAATACTACATTATTGAACCTCTGAATTAAAACTTCCATGAAAGTTGAAATAGTAATGATAGGGAGATGCCAAAATGAGATAAGCTGCTCTTTTGTGCTGCTCTGCATTGTTCAGTAGCAGAGGCTCAGGTAAGCATCCTTCATAGAATGGGATGGTTTCCATCTGATTGGAATGCAGCTGGCTTTATCTGGGGCAGGCTTTGCTGAATGTGTTTGCCTTCAAAACATGACTTTCATCTCTCAGGCTGCTTTGAATGGGCTTGTGAAGACTATAAACTTCACCCAGTTCATGTGATCAGTCAACCTGACAAGAAGAGGTCCTTTTTTTCTCTCTGAGATCTTTCTGAATAATTATACCTTCCCTGCGAGACCTCACACACAGAGACCTTAAGGCCAGGAGAGAATCATGATTGCTTCAGAGCTTGTGAGACTGGGATGAATTTTCCCTCAGCAAAGCACAACCTCTCTGCTAGTCACGGACACACAAGTCACTCTGTGCATTTTTTGGTGTAGCTCTAGCAAGCAGCATCTGTGATGGCTCTCTGGTCAAAACCAAAGCCCTAAGCTCCAATCCCAACTTGTGGCATTGTATCCTGGCTCTTGCTTTCATCTTCCTTCCTTAGTCATAGATGTTGGTGCTAGTTACTGGTTTGTAGTTTTGTGTTCTCATTCATTATGGATGCCACATGTCCAACTGTTCATGGGACATCTCTCATGGGTTCCTGAGCCCACTCAAAGTTTGTGCATGAGCTGAGATTCACCCCTGGGCCACTCACAGCTATAAAAAACCCCTAGGATTTGAGTTCTCTACTTTGGTAGTAGTGATTCATTTGTTAACTACACCCACTGATGACAGTGGCAGAGCTTGAACAGAATGTGTTACTTGATGTGTGTACAGGCATCCAGATTTGGCTCCCACGTGCCTTGGCCTCAGATTTTAATAACTTAGGATCCTGTAAGACTGGAAATAGAGAGTTTACGCTAATGTGATGCAGAAATTCCAAGATCAATCAAGATAACTGAAACCAGCATGGGTGCAAAGTTTGTTAAAATCCTACTCAATGTTCTTTTCTTTCAGAACACATTTCTGCAGCTCCCTCTGGGCCCTGTTCATTTTATATTACTATAACTTAGACACCTGTGCTGCCATGTGGAGGATATGAAAAAATAAAGCATGTATTTTGTACCGTGGAAATGCTGGGGAAGCTTCCTCGCCTGTACAGCACATGCTCTGTTCTGCTGACTAAATACTGTTGCTCTCCTGGTAAAGATTCGTAGGACTTGAGTTGTCCTTAAGTATTTTTTTTACTACCTCTGCCTTTTCCTGTGGCAGCACAATGGGATCAAGCAGGTGGGCAGGATGGGTTGGTTACTGGAGGGTTCACCAAGCACTTTGCTGGACCACAGCTTTTCCCTGTCACCTTGGGTGACTCCAGCTGACTCTGCTTTGTTACCCTGTAGGTGAGACTGGGATAGGAGAGCACCTTGATGACTCTAGTGGGTGAAGTACTCAAATAGAGTAATATGAAGTGCTACAGCAGTAGATTAAGAGCACCAGAGGGTACAAGAGAATGACAAGATGCTTTAGTGGCATATGAAGTCCTTTTATCATCTTATCGTTTAATTCTTTCAAATACAGAGTTTCTCAAGGGGACCTCTGTTTTCTGCCTAATCAGCCTAACAGCTGTGAATATCCTCTGTCCACCTGTCTTTGGAGGCCCTGCTGTGTTTGCTGAGCAGACACAAGGATCCCCATCCTGAACAGAGGACAGCACTATATTCCTTTGGACACCAACACCCTTTCTTAGAGTCTCCCCACCAGGCTTTTCTTTTTTGGAGAACACATTCCTGTTTCCTACCTTATGCCATCACTGAGGAATATGAAGTGGTGGATGTGGACCCACTTTCCTTGGTGGTTTTTTTTTTGGTTGGATTTTTTTTGCTTGTTTGTTTTAAGTTTTTTGTTTGGTTGTTTTTTAGTTTTGTTTTTTTATTTTTTTTTTTTTTTTGCCTGTCAGCTAGATATTCCCCTTCTCATTTCTTTTTTTTACTCATGCTCTCTGGGACTGTGGGTGATTCTCTCAAAGCCTGGGAGCAGGAAA